CAGGAATCATTATCTGATCTATTTTTCTTTCATGAAGAAATGTCTTCATGTCTTTAGCGTGGTGAGTGCTGGCTGCATCCCAGACTAGCAGACCTCTTTGGCTCCCTCGCATAACAAGCGGCAGCATTAAATTGACACACTTCCTTATAACTGCTTGTGTGGCCCAGGCTTTTTCAGTTTCAAGAATAAAAACGCCCAAAACACATTCAATCTTTTCCTTCCTGCCCTTAGAAATGATTAAAGGTGGGATTTTAGTGCCATCCAGACGAATTGCCAAAATACAGGAAACACGTGCACTTTCGTAAACAGTGGAGGGAATGTACACTAAGGAGGCACCCCACTGTTCAATTGTTGTTTGAGATGATTGGCCCATAAACACTGCAGTTTCATCCATAGCAATCATGTTGGAAAGATTGTATTTAGAGAAGTCAGCATCATCAATAAAGGACTTGAATGCAAGTACTCGCTTAATAACTTGAATATCTTCCAACCTAAACAATGTTGTACTGGTAGATCTTCTTAAAGATAGTTCACTTTCTGAAGGAAAGTATCCAGCCAGTGTTGTGATGCTTTGAAGTCTTCGGGGGCTATGTCAAACTGTGGTGCCATTGCAAGGGCAAATTCTTGAATCTGAGCCCTATTCACAACCAAACCCTCTGCTCTCTTGTCAACAACCCATTCACAGATCAGGTCTTCCAGCTCGGGAAATAATGGTTGCTGACCTGATCCACACTTGCGCTTTTTAGCATTTCCTTTGTCCACTTGTTCAATGAGGTTACCATACTCTGCTCGCCATTTTTGGACCAATCGAATACTCAACATCTTCTCTTTGCAGAAAGCAGTAAGATTTTGGCCCCAAGAGTCTTCCACGATTCCTTTCTTGTACTCCATGGAGTAGCTTTTTCTTTTTGTGCTCATTTCTAGGGGTAAAAAAAAGAATTGGGTATCAAGGAGGGGGATCACTTAAAATGACACAGGGGGGATCAGAGTGGGAAGTCAAAATGGCACAGGAGAATCAAAGGGGGGTTACCATTTTAGTAACCCCTTTTGATCCTCCTGTGTCATTTTGATTGCCCCCTCTGATCCTCCTGTGTCATTTTAAGTGATCCCCCTCCCCTACCACCCCTGTGCCACTGAACACCTTCACCAGACATCCCCCATACCCCTTTATCAGACATTTACCCCCTGAGGCCTGCCTGGGGACTGTCACTGGGCCTCCTGGGGCCTGGATCTGGGCTGGAGCAGCATGAGAACCTTCAGTCATCATGAGGGCGGCCACGAGCAACAGGTAGTGTCACCAGAGACAGACCACCACTCACCACCTTTGCTGAGTCCCATCCGCTCTAATCTTCCTGTTCTTCTACATGCATCTGCGAAAGTCTCCTCCTCTCTCCCGCCCAGCGCTCATTGCTCACTCCGATCTCTGCTCCACCTCCACACAGCAGTGACATCAGGACTCCGCAAAATGTCACTGGTTGCTTGACGCCAGTCGGGGTGGCCCTAGCGACCAGTTTACGGTAAATTAATTTTCATTCTAAGACAGAGCCTAGGGGGGCCTTATTTTGGGGGGGATGTCTTATATTTCACTCAGAAGGAAATCTGTAAGTAGGTCTTATTTTCGGAGGATGTTTTATTTTTGGGGAAACAAGGTATATATCATCTATCTATCCATCTACTAAAGGCCCGGTGCACGAAATTTGTGCATGGGTGGTGGGGGGTGTCCCTCAGCTCATCCTGCACCCTCTCCAATCTAGGACATTCCTCTCACAATCCAGGACTGCTGGCTCCCAACTGCTCGCCTGCCTGCCTACCTGATTGCCCCATATCCACTCCCCTGCCAGCCTGATTGATGCCTAACTGCTCTCCTGTCAGCCTGTTTGCCCCTAACTGCCCTTCCCTACAGGCCTGGTTGCCCCCAACTTCCCTCCTCTGCCAGTTTGGTCATCCCAAACTGCCCTCCCCTGCAGGCTTGATTGTCCCCAACTGCCTTCCCTTACAGGCCTGGTCCCTCCAAATTGCCCTCCCCTGCTGGCCATTTTGTGGTGGTCATCTTGTGTCGGAGTGATGGTCAATCTGCATTTACTCTTTTATTCGATAGGACAGAGGCCTGGTGCAAGAGTTGGGGCCAGCTGGTTTGCCCTGAAGGATGTCTTGGATCAGGGTAGGGATTCCTTTGGGGCATAGAGCAGCCTGGGTGAGGGCCTGTGGTGGTTTGCAGGCTGGCCACGTCCCCTGGTGACCCAAGTGGAGGCCCTGGTATCTGGAATTTATTTATCTTCTACAATTGAAAGTTTATAGCCTGGAGTGGAGCCAAGCCTTCTGCTTGCTCCATGGAGGCAGCCATTTCTGTTGGGATTTATTTATCTTCTATAATTGAAACTTTGTAGCCTTAAGCAGAGGCCTGGGTAGGCCAGAGTGTACAGAAAGGTTGGCTTCTCCATCGCCGGGGGGAACCCTAGCCTCCTGCTTTTTCCAGCTCCATGGCTGCCACCATTTTTGTTTGAATTTATGTATCTTCTATCATTGAAACTTTATAGCCTTGAGTGGAGGCCTACGTTGGCAAGGGCAGACGGAAAGCTTGGTTTCCTCCATTGCCAGGAAACCCACACCTCCCTCCTGCTCTCTGTGGCTGTAGCCATCTTGGTTGGGTTTATTTGCATATTTGCTCCTGATTGGTTGGTGGGCATGACAAGTAGGTGTAGCAAAGTGATTGTTAATTTGCATATTACTCTTTTATTAGATAGGAGGACTATAAGCCTAGTGCATGAAAATTCAGGCACTGGAGGGGGATCCCTCAGCCTGGCCTGCCCCTTCTCACAGTCTAAGAGCCCTTAGGGGCAGGAGGTGACTTGGTGATCAAGAGAAGGCGATGCCCCCCTCATACCTCTGCTGCTATCACTGCTGGCTGTGCAAGCCTCGACCTGGCCTGGTTATCTGTACCTGGGATGGCACTGGACAGCTGGGAAGCCACCATCTGAGGCTTGCCTGCACCTTAGATCATCCCTGGGCGGCTGGGCAGCCACCATTTGAGGTTTGCCTCCACTTTGGACTGGCTCTGGGTAGCTGGGCAGCTGCAACCTGAGGTTTGTCTGTGCTCTGGGTCAGCCCTGGGTGGCTGGGGGGCTGAGGAAACTAGGGTACTCTGGAGGTAGGTGTGTGGAGCAGCTGGACACACCTGGGGATGGGCCTAGCTGCGCTGCCCACCTACTGCCTCAGTGTGGCTGAGGGGACTAGGAGCTACCATCTTGTGGCTGTGGGCACCACCATCTTTGAGAGTGTGGCAGTCAATTAGCATATCCCCTCCTTATTGTCTGTGAGTGCCACCATACTTTTTTAATTTCGTTACTGATTAAGTTATTATATATGTGTTCTTATCACCCTACTCATGCCCTCACCCCCTTGTTGTCTGTGTCCATTGGTTAGGTCTATATGCATACATATGAGTCTTTCGGTTGATCTCTCACCCTTACTCCCTCTCTCATCTACCTTCCTTCTGAGGTTTGACAGTCTGATCAATATTTCTCTGTCTCTGGATCTGTTTTTATTCATCTGTTTATGTTGTTTATTATTTTCCATAAATAAGTGATATCATATGATATTTATCTTTCTCTGACTAGCTTATTTCAATTAGCATAATGCTCTCCATTTCCATCCATGCTGTTGCAAATGGTAAGAAATCCTTTTTTTTTTACTTTGAGGGTGGGGCAGTCAATTAGCATATTCCCTCCTTATTAGCTGTGGGCACCACAATCTTTGCAATGGTGTGAGGGTCAATTAGCATATTCCCTCTTTATTAGATAGGATATAAAAGACAAGTTACTGGAACGACCAGAACAACCTGTCACTATGATGTGCTCTATGGCTGGCCAACCACTGTGACTGGCCAATCGGCTCAATGGGGGTAGGGCCAACTAACCTGACCCCCTATTGGCTACTCCTACCCTAATCAGAGCAGGTCAGTCAGACCCCACCCATGCACAAATTCATGCACTGGGCCTCTACTATAGGATATAAAACTGAAACTCATGGACACAAACAGCAGTGTAGTAGTTGCCAGAGGAAAGGTGGTGGGTGGTGGAGGGTGAAGAGGGTTTAATATATGGTGATGGAAAATTATTTGACTTTGGGTGGTGGGCACACAGTGCAATATATCGATCATTTATCATAGAAATCTACACCTGAAACTTATATGACTCTATTATCCCATTAAATTAAAAACAAAACAAAACAAAAAACGATTACAGAGTCCCCTTAGACCAGTGGTCGGCAAACTGTAGCTCGTGAACCACATGCAGCTATTTGGCCCCTTGAGTTTTTAGCAAAGGCAGCTTATGAGTACCCTAATTAAGTTAATAACAAGGTACCTACATATATAGTTTAAGTTTAAAAAATTTGGCTCTCAAAAGAAATTTCAATCATTGAATTCTTGATATTGGCTCTGTTGACTGAGTTTGCCAACCACTTTCTTAGGCAAAAGGATGCAAATATAACAGATCTTACCCTCTGCATTTATCTTCCAAGGGTAGAGGTTTCTATTTTCAATAGTTCACATGTACTGATGTGAAAATAGCCCAACATATCATGTTAAATGAAAAGAGAAAATTGTGATACAATATGAATGCATGATCACACACTTTTAAAAAGTTATTGCAAATGTATAGAAATGAAGGAGAACTACCAGCCATGGCTATTTCTAAAAGGGACTACATCTGGTGAAGTGGTATGTTTCTATAGCTATATGTGTATGCAAACTTCACATTTTTACTCCATGAATATCTATATTTGATTTTTAAAAGAATATATATGGGCTTTAAAAAAAAATAAAGAACTGATTATTTATGGTCTCTGGGTGTTCTGGTGGCATTTATTTAACTCTCTGTTTAGGAAGAAATTCTCTTAACTTTAAATTAAAGGAATAAATACATACAAAGTGCCGAAGACAGTATTCAATAACTATGAGTACCCATACTGTTGTTATTCCCATGATATAAAAGCAATACCTCTTTCATTTGGTTCAGCGGCAGAGAACATGGCCATGAAACCATTCCCAGCAGTGTTGGCGTCGGAAATCATCTGCACCATCATCTTGTTGCCACTGGACACAAGGGCTCCAGGCCGAAACGTGCCACAGAAGCGCCCAATACGCTGGCCATTGCCGTGGCCATTGTACACATCCACAAAGTCATAGCGGCACAGGTTGTCACTCTCAAGGTCTAAGAATCGGAAATTGAGAACTACTACTTTTCCCTTGGGAACCTGCCAAGAGAAAGGCCAATTGGAAAACTGTCGTGAAAACAAAGTCTGAGGCTTTCACATTTGGTCAATTACTAGTGAACAGATAAACATAAAATCCAAAATGATGCTTTTTCTTCCCTCAAACCTGAACTAAGCCAGAAAAGGTACTCCAAAAAAATATAAATATTTATCGATTTTGACAAATTGCACAATTCTCTAGGACAGTGGTCAGCAAACTGTGGCTCACAAGCCACATGCAACTCTTTGGCCCCTTGAGTGTTTAGCAAAGGCCAACTTACGAGTACCCTAATTAATAACAATGTACCTACTTATATAGTTAAATTTAAAAAAATTTGACTCTCAAAAGGAGTTTCAATGATTGTACTGTTGATATTTGGCTCTGTTGACTAATGAGATTGCTGACCACTGCTTTAGGGTACACAATGTTATTCCTAGAGAATTATCTCAACAAAGCTTCAAAATATTAGACTGGTCTTATTAATTGATACCGTTACTCAAACATTTGCATATTCAAAAACACCAAGGCACCCAGCAATACTATTTGTCAAGAAAACATTTTGAAATGTCACTTCTCACAAATAATAAAATGGAACATCTCAATATATAGAACATTTTTAACAATTTAAAACCAAATGAATTATCTGACAATTGTGTAACTAATCTTGCCTAACAAACAAACATATAAATTAACTGTATGTCATCAGCCAATCAAGAGTGATATGCAAATTAACCCAACGAAGATGATGGTTAATTTGCATACAAAGGCACCAAGAGACGGGGAGGGCGGGATGCTTGTGGGTCGTCACCATGGCGACGATGCAGGCCTTCTGCCCCATCTCCAATCTCTCAGGGCTTCTGGGCAATGTAGGAAGGTGGAGCTGAAGCCAAAAGAGGTGGCTCCCTGAGCAGAAAGAGGCGGCTTCAGGGCCTGAGAGGAAAGGGGCTGGGCTGGAGTAGAAAAGCAGAGCAGGTCGCCAAGGAAAGGAAACCCCATTCTAACATGAATCTTCATGCATTGGGCTTCTAGTTTATAGATAATACTTTGGGTCCTGAAAAATCCAGATCAAATATGTCTACTAATTACATTAACTTAGTAATAGCTGATTGTTCTCTTTTCAAAGTCACCAAGTTTTGGCTTGTTTTCTAGTTGCAAACTTTATATACCAGGTAGCTTTGAAACATGATGCATTGATGAAAAAGATGAGTTTTCACTTCCTCCTAAAACTTTCTTTACCATAATTTCCCCCTTATAATTCTAATGATGCTTCCCTCCTTTCCTGAATAGGCAGGAAAAAATGACTGCAAAATATTTTGGCATAATTCTTACAAAAGCTTCATTTATTTCCCAGTACATATAATCTTTCAATTTCTTCATTAAAGAAGTTTAGTAATAAAGTCTCAGTCAGATTTATTTCATCCTTTCAACTGGGTGAGGTTCCCACTGCATAACATGAAAATTTCATTCTGTAAAAACTTACAGATAACAAAAGTCAAGTGATTATAAAACAACCAAACATAATGCACAAGCACGTGGTTAGTTCACATTCATTTTAGTTAACTAACACAGACTCAAGATGCTTTACGGACATAACATGGCTTTCCCTGTTGCTGAGTTCAGTGCCATGATTTTTATTTTTTTATGATAAGAGGAAGTATATCAGTGCTGTTTGCCTTTTGTGTCAATCATATACTCATCTTTTTTTTTTAAGTATATTTTATTGATTTTTTACAGAGAGGAAGGGAGAGAGATATAGAGCTAGAAACGTCGATGACAGAGAAACATCGACCAGCCGCCTCTTGCACACCCCCTACCAGGGATGTGCCCGCAACCAAGGTACATGCCCTTGACCGGAATCGAACCCGGGACCCTTCAGTCCGCAGACCGATGCTCTACCACTGAGCCAAAGCGGTTTCAGCCATATACTCATCTTAATGTAGAAACAGTAATTGAGTAGTCACAAGAAGGGAAATATTTTGGCCTTGACTTGGTTACATTCCAGTTATTAGAAGCTTATCTTTTGTTCTTTCAATTTTATTTTGTATTGGTTTTAGGTGTATAGCATAGTGGTTAGACAATCATATAATTTACATAGTGTTCCCTCGATATTTCCGGTACCCCAACTGACCCCATAAGTAGTTATCACAATATTATTGACCATATATTCCCTATGCTGTACTTAACTCCCCTATGACTATTCTGTAACTACCAATCTGTACTTCTTAATCCCATCACCTCTTTTACCTGGTCTCTCAATACCCCTTCCCTCTGTTCTCTTTCTGTGTCTATGAGTCTGTTTGTTTACTTTGTTCTTTAGATTCCACGGATCATATGGTATCTGTCTTTCATTGACTGACTTATTTCACTGAGCAAAATACACTCTAGGTTCATCCATGCAGTCGCAAATGGTAAGATTTCATTCCTTTTTATGGCCGAGTAATATTCCATTGTACATATGTACCATAGCTTTTCATCCTTATCTATTGGTGGATACTTGGGCTGCTTCCAAATATTGCCTGTTGTAAATAACACTGCATGAATATAAGGGTGGCATATATCCTCTAAAATTAGTTTTTCTCCAATAAATCCCCAGAAGTAAAATCTCCAGGTCATAAGGCAGATCCATTTTTAATTATTTGAGGAAACTGCTCGAGTTTATGTTAATGGTGTGAATATCAGAAGTTGCAAAGCCACAGTCTAAGAAACTGATAAGAGAAAATGCAATATAATTTGTAAACATTCTCACTGAGATATCTGTTATAAAACTACCTTGATTTTTATTTTGTTTTGTTACAATCTCTATTTTATCCCATGATTAGGAAATTATGAAAAATGTGATACCATCTGTAATCTTAAAATAAGCAAGCTCTCTATGACTCATTGAAAAATTTCCAGCTGCCGAAATCGGTTTGGCTTAATGGATAGAGCGTCGGCTTGGGGACTGAAGGGTCCCGGGTTCAATTCCGGTCAAGGGCATGTACCTTGGTTGTGGGCATATCCCCAGTAGGGGGTGTGCAAGAGGCAGCTGATCGATGACTCTCTCTCATTGATGTTTCTAACCCTCTATCTCTCTCCCTTCCTCTCGGTACAAAATCAATAAAATATATTTTAAAAAAAAATTTCCAGCCAAGGAAAACATTCTGAGCTGAATTAACTTAATCTGGATTGCCCTTACATGAATAATGACTATTGATATGAATGTATTGATAATTTTACAGAGGATAGTTCAAAGCTATGACTTTTCACCCAGAGGTGAGTGTTTATTAAAAGGTATGAGGCTGGGGAGAATCCAAGATGGCTGCTCGGGTAGGCACCTAGCCAAGCCGCACACAACAATTTCAACAAAATACAACTAAAATATAAAATGGACATCACCCAGAACTACAGGAAAGTTGACTGACTGGAAATTCTACAACGAGAAGCAAGGAGAAAACCAGAAGGAAGCGCGGAGGAGCTGGAAAAGCCTAAGGTACGGAGACACGCGGCGAGCAGAGAGGACGGAGCCGGAGAGGAGGGAGGCGGAGTGCCTGGCAGGCGTTCCCTGGCGGGAAGGAGATAAACGCTCCGACTGTGCTGGCCCCCATTCTGACTGCTCTGAACCCCAGGCCTAGGCCAGACCCCGGGGACCCAGGCTCACACAGAGGGAGCCAGGCTGAAAGGCTGAACCCCGGGGAAGAGGCGAAAGGAGGCCCCGGCGGCGGCGCCGCCGCGCAGAGAAGGGACGGTTGGCTGTGCCGCGGGATTGCCTGGTGGGAAGGAGACAGGGGCTCCAGACTGCTCTGAACGCCACCTCCAACTCCACTTCCAACTGAACTGAACCCCAGTTTCGGGACCATTGGGGGAGAGACTAGACTGTTTGGTAGCAGGCGAAAATCGAGGGCGCCTTTCTCTCAGAGGCGCTTACAACAAGTACTGAAGGACCCTGAGTCTCAGGAGTCGCATAGGGCGGGGCTGACGAAAGCCAAAGCTGTAGGCTCCACCCTGAAACCCCGCCCCATCAGGAAAGCTGCCTCCGAAAATGCCTAAACCAAATAGATCACAAACGAAAGAAATGGAGGACAAAAAGCGACTGGATATAGAGTTCAAAACCACACTTATAAGGTTTTTCAAGAGTTTCCTAGAAAAGGCCGATAAAATAAATGAGACTTATGAGGATATGAAAAGGGATCAACAAGAAATAAAGAATACATTGTCTGAAATAAAAACTATTATACAGAGTCCTAAAAACAGAATAGAAGATCGCAAGAATCAAGTCAAAGATTTGGAACATAAAGAGCCAGAAGATACTCCTCTGCAGTCGCTAGAAGGCAAGAGAATCCAGAAAATTGAAGATGATGTAAGAAACCTCTGGGACAACTTCAAACGATCCAACATCAGAATTATGGGGGTCCCAGAAGATGAGAGAGAGCAAGATATCGAAAACATATTGAAAGAAATAGTGACAGAAAACTTCCCCCACCTGGGGAAAGAATTGGACTTACAAGTCCAGGAAGCACACAGAACTCCAAATAAAAGGAATCCAAAGAGGACCACACCAAGACAAATCATAATTAAGATTCCAAGAGCAAAAGACAAAGAGAGAATATTAAAAGCAGCAAGAGCTAGGCAGATAGTTACCTATAAAGGAGCACCTATACGATTGTCAGCTGACTTCTCAACAGAAACCATGCAGGCCAGATGGGAATGGCAAGAAATATTCAAGGTGATGAATAGTAAGAACCTACAGCCAAAGATAATCTATCCAGCAAAGCTATCACTCAAATTCGAAGGTCAGATAAAGAGCTTCACTAATAAAAAAAAGCTAAAGGAGTTCATCACCACCAAACCAGAATTATATGAATTGCTGAAGGGGGTCCTTTCAGAAGAGAAAGTAAATAAAGATAAAAATTATGAACAACAAATACGTAACTATCAACAAGTGAATCTAAAAACCAAGGAAATTAAAAAAAAAATCTGATGAACAATATTAACTGTTGAATATAATAGAATCAGAGGTATGGAA